CATTGAAGACGCGATGGAGGTCCTGTGTGCAGCGGATTCGGGTCCCTGAAGATGGCGGACGCGGCACAGGTACTCGTTTTTTGTATCGGAGTATTTGCACGAGTACTCATGCAAATACTCGGTATCGCCGCCGATACCGATGCTTGTATCGGTATCGCTGCATCCCTAGTTCTCTTTAAACATGTAATGTAAACATAGCAGGCAGTGGCTTGCAGCAATAGCCAGCCTGCTATTGGCTATTTCAAACTGCAATAGCCAATAGCGGGCTGGCTATTGTACCCGCCCACTCCCTGCTGTCAATCAGCAGAGAAAGGAACTGAAGGAGAAAGTTCACCTTCAGGTCCTCCTCCGCTGATTGACAGCAGGCAGTGGACGGGTTCAATAGCCAACCTGCTATTGGCTACTGCAATTTAAAATAAACAATAGCAGGCAGGCTGTAGCAACGGGGACACAGGGAGGAGCAGCGTAAACGAGCAGCGGAGGACACAGGGAAGAGCGGCGGGGACACACAGGAGCAGCGAGGACGACCAGCGGGAGCATGGACATGCAGTAGAGGCACCGGGACAGAAACAGAAGCACTGGGGGAGCAACAGGGAATGTCTCTCCTGCAGACACAGACAGCAGCACGCTGGGGCTCCCAGTGGGGAGGAGAACAGGGAAGCAGAGCAGCGGCGGCAGCGGGAGAATGAGTTTTGGAGGTCTCCTCACCGCCGTGTATCGACTGCAGGGGTCTGTGTATAGACTGCAGATGGGATACAGAAACAACTAATCGCACAATCAACTAATCGCTAATGATAATTGTTGACAATTGATTCGTTGTTGCAGCCCTAACTAGAATAGAAAAGAATTAAATAACAATTTGTAAAGGATAAAGTGTCCTTAGAGGATGTTTTTCTTCCGTTTATTTTCTATTTTACTTTATTGCCAACTTATAATTCAGCACTCAACAGAGCAAACACTTTGCTATATTTTTTTGGATGTAGAAACAAGGTGAGAAAACCCACAGATATAGCGAAAAAAATCACTCTGGGCAGAGTGAATGTTAAAGAAGTCTCATGATAAATAATACGGTTTTTGTATTATTTGCGGGGGACCAAGTGCATATAGTACTTGGTTCCATTCAAATCCCTGCACCATTGCTAAGCAGCTTGGTCGGACATTTTGCCCACTGCTCTCCAATCATACGGCTAGCAAGGAGATGGAATTTCGAGTGCTAGTCTCTGGCAACAGGGGCCACTTTGGAGATCTGAGCTGGCATTCACAACAGATCACCCAGGGCTGTGGGCTCTGGGCTGTGTGCTTATCAGCAGCTGCTTGAAAACATATACAGCCCCGACAGATACATCACACAGCCCAGCGGCGCTGACTGATCTTTTATGAATGAATGATCATACACTGTTGACTTCGGTAAAAGCCCCTAGAATGCTTGTCAAACATACAATGCTGTAACCAAACATGGATGATCTGCCTGTCCGAGACCAAATGTTTGTTACTTTCACAGTCATAAGAGGAAATGGATGTCCACTGCAATCTGCAAGAGTATAACTGCCTGCTATTCCAAGCTATACAACTGAAAGTCTACTGCTTTTAGCTCTTTAGAGTATAAGTCCGCCAAAGCTTTTGTCCTGGTGACAATGGTTTTATTAGACAGAAATTGAGGGAAAATCTACATCAGAGAAACAGACAGCAATAATGAACCGACAGGGTTTCTAGCCTTCCCCTACTTTACTAAGTAAAACATCTTTATTTACGTCTGTGTTGCTGTTAGAAACTTTCCTTTATTTCTTGTCTGGTGAAACCCCTGTGATCGGGACAGCAAGTGAGGAGAAATCTCTCTAACAGTGCCCTTAAAAGCAATAAAAATCCAGACAGGGGTTCTAATTCCTTCCTCCTCCATCCAAAATTAAGATAGTTATTCACTAAGGAGCCTAAGGATATAGCCGTAGCTTCGGCTGATCCTTCGGCTCACTTTGGCCGCCGGAGCCCTTCAGTTCAGTTGGGCCTTTCGGTTCAGAAAGGCTGCGTAAGGACTATTCAGAACAGCTCATACAGCAGCCGAGCCGAACGCATATGCTTCGAATCACAGCCGAAGCGGGGAGAATGCCAAAGCAGACTGTTTTCCCTGCAAATGACAACTGGGTGTCCTCGAGAACACTGGGCTGTCATTAAATGACAACTGGGTGGTGCCAGCCGTGATGTCACAGTTGGCTCCACCCAGTTGTTGTCCTTCAATGACAGGCCAGAATTTTCTGGTTATTTGAGGACACTTGGCTGTCATTAAATAACAACTGGGCGGAGCCAGCCATGATGTCATGTGGGAACACTCTGGCAGGTTTTGGCAAAATGTAAACAGCTGGGCGGAGCTAGCGGTGATGTCGCTGGTTCACTGGTTTTCCTTCCCTTGACCACTTTTGCTAGGTCCTGACCACTGCAGACCGGCAACATCCCACAAGAGCTGCATTTTTGGAGTTACTCTGACCCAGTTGTCTAGCCATCAAAATGTTGCCCTTGCCAAAGTCGCTCAAATCTTTTAGATTGTCCATTTTTCCTGCTTCCAACACATCAACGTCCAGGACAAAATGCTCACTTTGCTGCCTAACCCACTTCCAGGTGCCATTGCAATGATATAATCAATGTTATTCATTGTATTTC